GGCCGAGCAGCTGCGGGAGGTGCTGGGGACCTGCCCCGCCGTGCTGCTGGAGGAGCCGCGCCACCTCCACCTCCACTTCCAGGTGAGGAAAGGGGGGACCCGCGCGGGGCCCCGCCGCAGGTCACCGCGGCTGCTGTGCCCGAACAGCCTGTGTCCCCTTGCAGTACGTGTACTTCAGGATGGGGGTCAAGCAGAAGGAGATGGTGAAGGCCCGGCTGTTCCGGGTGCCTTTTGCCGAGCTCAGGAACCGACACATCTTCCTGGAGCGCCGGGGGCTCTACCAGACCCCTCACAAAGGCCAGATTGAAACCAATAACCCAAAACTGAAGGACATCCTTCAGCTCCCTGAGAAAGACTTTCTGGCCAGCCTGGCCCGCTCCACTGCCGAGGAGTATGAGGTCTTCAAGAAGCTGCTGGCTCAAGAGGAGAAGGAAGAAGAAGAGGAGGAAGAAGAGGAAGACAGAGATGCACTGTATGCAGAGGAAGATGAAGACTTGGACAGTGAAGGCAGTAAAACAGCCTGGAAGTGAGGAGGTGAGGCTCCAAGGTGCCCAAGCTCTGCACCCGTGGGTGCTCTAGGCCCCTGCCCCACACAGACATGAGCCATGGTGGCTGCAGGGCTCTGTGTGCAGGGTCCTGCGGGGGCACAGCAATAAATCCCATTTCTCAGAATACAATAACCCTTGTTTCTCCTCATTGACCAACTACTTCACACAATATCCAGTTTCCATAAAGTGTTTTTATTTAAAAAAAAACAAAACAAAACCAAAAAACCCCAAAATAACTAATTTATTTCCAAGGCTAGGTTAAGACCTTCTGGCTCCATTACATAGTGTGCTGGCTGTGGGGCAGGAGGCTGCTGTGCTGGCTTTCAGTGGGACCACTCTTTTGTTGCAAAGCCAAGGCCCCATCCATGGCTGCACTGAACCAGGACTGTCCCATCATGGCAGAGCCACCTCCGCAGCCTGTGTTGGTGCTGGACTCGTGGCTGACAAAGCAGCAAATGCGTTTTGACCACAGCCCCAGAACCTCCCCTCCCTCGTGGATTGCAGAGGCTGCACTGGCTTCCCCCTTGCCCTGCTTTTCAGGCAGGGGCTGGCAGCTGCTTCTGCCCTGGGGAGGCTGCGGGGCTGGAGCAGGAGCAGGATGAGGATCAGGCAGCCTTGGAGGAGGAGGCAGATCTGTCTCCAGCCCCAGTTCTTGGAGCAGAGGTAGAGCCCATGCGGGAGGGGAGTGTCGTGCTGGTTGTGGCTTTACATCAGCCCTGCTGTTCCCAGGCTGCTGCCAGATGGCTCAGCAGCTGCTCTGCAGGGATGAGCGCTCTTACGCTGCTCCCAGGAGGGAGAGGGTGGAACCAGGAGCACCAAAACTCCTGGGCCTGTTCTGCTCCGAGCACGCTGACACTCATGGCTCAACAGCAGAGCACCCTGTGATGCTCACAGGAGGGGAGGGCTGCCCCCCACGCTGGGGAAATAACACTCTATACCATAACTACGATATATCTCTGGTACGTATTAATTTATAATATACACTGTGTATGTTAATACACAAATCTATGTTTAACTAGCACTGTTGTACAAACTCACAAAAACTAGAAACGTTTCTAAGCTACACTTTTTCCTTGCTGGCCCTGCCACCAGCGGGCTGGTCCTCTCCAGCTGGTGCCACCAGGAGCACAGACGCTGGCAGCAGCTCATGGGGACAGCACGTGGCAGTCTTTGTCACTGAGCCCATGCTGTGCCCTGCGCTGGATGCAAGGCGACTGGGGTCAGAACAAGCACGGTGTTAATGCCTCAGCTGACCCTACAGATCACTTCTAAAATTCTTCCTAAGTGCTCTATTCCTTTCTGAGCTGGAAATTTGGTTAAAACCAGGGATTGTTTACAAAGCAAAGAAAAAAAGGCAGGCAGTAGAGGCTGCCTCAGTTTCCGCCGCCAGAGCAGAGGAGACGGGGACGTGCATCCACTGCCCACGCTTGCTGCTCGCTGTTTCTAACTCAGCTACACAGGGAAGGGCTCCTCCAGCCAGGTTGTTGGCTGCAGTTCAGGTGATCGCTAAGGCTTTTTGGTCTGCATTAAACTGTTTTTTATTTGGGGGTTATCGGTAATTTATAACCTTGGATTACGAAAACGGGTCGGTGCAGATGCTGGTGGCAGGGAGCTGGGCTGGACCCTGCCGATGCCTGAGCAGAGCTGGGAGCCCAGAGCAGGTGGTGATGGCAGGGCCAGTCCCCTCAGGGTGGGGGGCAGCCAGGCAGGCACTGGGGCTCAGCTCCTCGGGAACAGAGAGGTGGCCGGAGCAGGGCCAGCCAGGGCAAAGGCAGTGCTGGTCCGGCGGAGGGAAGGGACGCTGCTCGGCGTGTCGATCGGCTGCAGGTCCCTAATGGGCTGGAGAAGCAGGAGAGGCTGATGCCAGGCAGGAAGGTTCCCCCACTGACTTCAACCCCATGAGCAGATCGGATCTTCCTGGTGTTTCAAAAGCCCTTAGATGTGGAAAGATGAAGCTTCTACTGCTTTGAACCCTGCAAAAGGAGCAGGGGAAGAATGAGCTGGTGTGCAGAGTCCCCCAAAACTCCGCAGCTTCCTCTACCCTGTGTGCCCATCTCAGGCTGGGAGAAGGGGACCTGCCCCCTCCAGGGCTCCAGCCTTTGCCTGGCACAGGCAGGCAGGACTCTTGTTCACAGGGCTGCAGAGCTGGGGGAAGCAGAGCATTGCCTCCTGCTCTGCCACCCTAGCCCCAGCCAGGAGCCCTCAGACCCTGGAGAGCCCTCACAGCCCCTCGACACAGCAGCGCGAGCCTGGGCTGTGCTATGGCCCCCAGTCTCCTCCTCCCCCACTCCCCGGGACAGAGGCAGCCCTAGAACAGGTACTTACTCTATGGCTTCTTCAGTGTGTGACTGGTGCTGGGTTTTCTGAAAGAGAAGGCAGGAGAGCGCCATCACTTCTCATGCTCCGTTCTGCACGGGATGCCTGCACCCCTCACCCCATCTGCCCCCAGTCTGGGCACCCCAGTGTGTGCTGGGGGACACCGGCCGGCTGTGCCCTCCTGTCCTGGGCCGCAGGACAGCAGGCATGCTCAGTGCGGTGCTGCGAGCTGTACCTGCTGGTTGTCTTCCAGGAAGCGGTGCTCTCACAGCTCTCCTTGTAGCAGACAGCTGTGTGTGCCTTGTAGACTCTCCTGTACCTGCACACACAGCAGAGCGGCGAGTTGTAGAGAGAACAGGCCCAGAGCTGCTTTTAGAAGAGAGGCAGGGTCTGGGGGTCTCTCCCATTTCCTTCCAGGCTGCTGTGGTTGCCGGCCTTGGTAAAAACGGGGCTGAGCCTGCTACGCCTGAGGGCTGACCCTATGCTATGCGTGTGCCTCCATCACAGGAAGGCTGGGGTGCTTGAGGGGGCACAGCAGAGGCCCCCACACCCTGGCATCGCAGCAGGGCTGACCTCAGCCCTCTGCAGAGGCAGCGGGCAAGGGATCCGCTGCTGTGAGGGGGTCCCACACACCAAATCCAATCTGGCTGCCCACTACAGGGTGGCATTTTGGCAACACCCTGCCCTGAAATGCAGCCAAGGGGGCAACCCAGGGGCTCAGCCTGCGCTGGGGAGGGGGCAGCTGCCAGCTGGGGTCTGCGGTGGCCTTGTGCTTGCTCTCCCTTCCCTGGAGCCGAGCTGCGGGGGGACACCCCCGGCTCTGTGCATGAGGGGAAGTGGGGAGCACACCCAGTACTCACAGGTAGTGGCAGGTGCCTCCTTCCCACACGGGCAATGACTTGGTTTCCGCGTACAGCCGCGTGCACGAGTGTGGCACCTTCTTGCAGGCTGCTTGGGGAACAGGAGAGGGGGAGCTACCAACCAGCCCGGCCCTGGCCCTGCCTGCCTGTGCCCCGTGGCGGGGGGCCAGTGAGGGCCCCCTCTGCTGTCCTGGAGGGCTGGGCTCGACAGAGCTGACCAGCCCGGAGAGGCAGAGACCCCAGCCTCGCCATGTCTGGATAATGGCACGGGCAGGATCCTGGTGGAGGCGGAGGGGTTAGCCAAAAGTGGGGAGTGGACCTATGCTCCCAGATCTGCTCGAGAGCAGAGCCTAGCCCCTCTCTCCACTGTCAGTACAGCTCAGCCCCCTCAGCTGGGTACTAATGGGGTGCACTCGGTGACCTGGGGGACCCGTGGCTGGGCCATCCGGCAGCAGCACAGCACTCACCCGCTCGCAGAGCCGGCCCTTGAACCCGGGGTGGCAGTGGCAGTGGTGGGCCTGGGCATCCCCGGTGCAGGTGCCTCCGTTCCTGCAGGGGTTGGGGGAGCAGTTCTGCCCCTCTCCTGCAAAACACAGGCGGCCGTCAGACCCCAGCGCAGCCCTGCTTGCCCCCACAGTGTGACAGGGTGCTCTGAGCAGGGATGGGGAAGGCAGAAGGGCCCTGGGCTGGTCCCTGCCGCTCGTGTGTCTCCCCCAGGACTTACTCTTGCTCTTTGCCTGACGCAGCTGCAGCACCAGGCTGCCCTGGCTGGACACCTCTGCGTTCTCCAGCTTCACTGGAGCCTCCGGCTCTGGGCAACAAGAGCAGAAAATGTCACCACCATTCCCAAGGCAGTGGTTTAGCCCTTCCCAGTTGACAACCCTTTCTAGTTGAGCAAGCATGGGCTGTGTGCTGGGCCCTTTCCCACCCTGTGATGTGGGGTTCCCAGGCATGGGGGGATATCTTGGGCCGGCACTTGGATCCCTGGTGTTTGGGGGATGGCAAACAGTGGGGGTGCTGGCCCTGGGCTACCGAGGGGCTTCCTGCTCAGGCATCCTCCTCCTGTGAGGCTGTGCTTGGCAGCAGGGGTGCAGGAAAGGGCACAGGGGAGGAGGCCAGCCCACGCTGCAGCCGGCATTGCCTCCCATCACAGAGGGGCCTCTCTCTATGCTCCCCAAGCAGCTGTGGATCCCTCTTGTTTGCCTGCCCAGGGAGAGGCGAGAGGGCTCTGCCCTCCTCGATGGGTCCCCCAGCCCCACAGCAGCCTGCCCAGCTGCCACCCTGGCACTGGCTGACAGGAGGGAGCCAGAAAAGCAGCAGAGCACTTACGCGTCTTCACGGTGATGGATTTGCCTGGTGCAGTGCCGAACCTGGTGCTGATCCTCCCTCTGCCATCCACCAGCTCAGTGAACCTGGGAGGAGAGATCCATGAGGGTGGGGGGCACCATGGGACATCCAGGCCACAGCCACTCCTGTGCTAGGGCTGGAGGCAGTGGATGAAGCACTTGCTGCTGATGTCGGGCTTGGTGTGAGTCCTGCGGGCTGAGCTATGGGCAGCAGGGGGGTCTCCAGCTCACAGGGCAAGGCTGGGGACCCTGGTGAGTGGGCAAGAGGCACAACTCTGCAGGAGCACAGCTTCACCTTGTGTACACAGGCACATGGGAGCTGAGAAAAGGACCCAAATAATAGAACGGTTGTGGGTAGAAAAGACCTTTAAGATCATTGAGTCCAACCATCGAACCAGCCCTAAGTCCACCACTAGACTATGTCCCTAAGCACTACATCTCCTTGTCTTTTAAACATCTTCGGGATGGTGACTCCACCACCTCCCTGGGCAGCCCCTTCCAGTGGTTGACAACCCTTTCAGTAAAGAAATTCCTCCTCATATTCAACATAAGCCTCCCCTGGCACAACGTGAGGCCATTACTCCTTGTCCTACCACTTGTTACCAGGGAGAAGAGATTGACCGCCACCTCTCTACCCCCTCCTTTCAGAGTGTTGTAGAGGGCAATAAGGTCTCCCACTCAGTCTCCTTTTCTCCAGACTAAACAACCCCAGCTCCCCTCAGCTGCTCTTCATAAGACTTGTACTCTAAGCCCTTCACCAGCTCCATTGCCCTTCTTTGGACACGCTCCAGCCCCTCAATGTTCTTCTTGGAACGAGGGGCCCAAACCTGAACACAGTCTGGGCTTGGGCCAAGCGCTGGTGGAAGACCCAGAGGCAGTGCCTACCTGGGGGCTGGCGAGGGCTCCTCGGCTGCATCGTGATCCGCCAGCAAGCGGAGCTCAGGGAGGAAAGCCGGGGGCAGTCTGTTGCGCAGGACGCGGGGGTGTCCGGCTTGGCTCCACCGTCTCTCTGGAGCCCCATCCCTCTGCACTGCAGACCAAAGGGCGAGGCTTAGTGGGACAGCACCTCAACACCCAGCCTGCCCCCTTGTCCCCAGGCCACCAGTTAGGGCTGTCTGGGGACACATGCACACTCGCCACATGCCTGCGCTGGAAGCACTCTTCTCTGCAAAGCATCCTCTCAGCAGCACCCCGCAACCCCCACCTCCCTCTGCAGGGGACCTTTGTCCTGTCCCCACAGCCAGTGCCCAGTTCTGGGGCAGTGAGTCCCCATGGGCTCCTTACTGTTGGTCAACTGGTTTCGCACTCCCTGCCCCGCATCCCCATTAGCTCATTGCCCCCCTCGAGCTGCAGCAAATCCCAGCCCCAGCGTGCTAGCCACTCACGGGTGGTGATGTAGAGGTGGATGGGCTCGCTGTGCACTTGGCCTTGCTCTGTGTTCTGCACAGCTGTTACAGACAGGCGGTACCGCTGCCCGGGGAGCAGGTCCCGCACTGTGTAGGACACCAGCTTCCCGTTGGGCACATAGCGGCTCTTCACGCTCTGAGTGGTGGTGACGTTGATGATGTACCCCTCCACAGCACCGGTGGGCGGCTGCTCCCATGCCATGGACACGGAGGTGGCAGTGACACGGGAGGCGGTGAGGTTTTGAGGAGGAAGAGGCCCTGGGGCAGGCAGCAGGTGGGGAGAAAAGGTGTCAGCGCTGGTGCCCTTGGAGGGCAACCGCCCTACTTGCCCACACATTACCTTATCAGCCAGGGTCACCCAGCTGTGCCCAGCTCCAAGCCATGTAAAGCACCAGGAGATGCTCAGCACCAGGTCCCTACCAAGGCAGGCAGTGCCTCACCATACCCCGGCACCCGGGTCTGGCTGTCACCCTCCAACTGCCGTACCACAAGGGATGAATCATGCCCCTGCAGGCCCCACACTGGGCTTGGGCAGTGAACACCATCTGGCAGAGGTGG